CATGTAAACGGTGTACACCTACGAGTACAAACATGCAGTGACATATAAATAATTTACAAAAGTCCCATAGTGTTGCTCGAAATGCTACAAATGCTCTCAGGATGTTACTCATACGTTATGGCACACACTAAACTGTTTGATATTTCATATAATATGCACAGTAACTGCTTTACAATTGTTTGTGTTGCTGGAGTATTTCTTTGCAAGCAAGAAGTTTACAAATTCACTGTCCGCCTGAGCCATTTCACTCTCTAAATGTGTCTTTGTGCAGAAAATGATTGATGCGTCTTTACCCCAGTAAGTCAGTGGGGTAGATACTGAAAAAAATATTACTTTAACCAAGCCACCAATATTAAAAAAGAAAAACGTCCAACATTTCAAATTGAATTAAAATTCGCATGTAAGAAAGTAATAAAGTGAAAAGTAGTAATGGAACCACCGCCACTAAATTAGATGTGTGTGGCTTTCCACTTGAATAGTGGTTTTGGTTTTAATATGTACTTTTGAATATTCTCTATTTCTTTTCTTCACTTTTGATTGCAAACGAAAGTTGTATTGTTTGTATTTCTAATAAATTAACTAAAGTACATGCGTTAATCACTAGTTTTAGAATATTTATTAATCACTCAAACCTCTGTACTTCGTTCTTGAGTTTCAAGGGCAAATGATATTTTTATTTAAAACACACATTTAGCAAAGAAAAGTAGAAAGTATTAAAATTAAAAACGAGTTAAAATGTTAACTTCAGTTGCACTGCAGCTATAATACTCTGCACATATACAAAAGATTTCTTACAAGCACTTGATTTCGATCGTTCAGTTTGAATGGCAGTTTAGATCAATGCTATAGTGATCCGATCTCAACAATTTCCTCGAAGATTAAACCATTGTACTAGGTTATAACCCATATTAAATTCTCTATAAAGTATATATGGTATATGCATTATCAGAGTGTCGGGCTGAGTCGAATTAGCCATTTCCGTCTGTCTGTATATATGCGAACTTGTCCTTCAGTTTTTGAGATATCGATCTGAAATTTTGCAACCGTTCATTTCTCACCAAGAAGCTGCATATTTGATGGATCGATCGATATCAGACCACTATAGCATATAGCTGCCATACAAACTGAACGATCGAAATAAAATACTTGTATGGAAATGTTTTTCATCTGAAGAGATATCTTCACCAAATTTGGCATGGGTTACTGTCCAAGCCAATGTTGCACATTTAGAAGAAATTGTTCAGTCTGAGTCACTATAGTATATGGCTGCCATACAAACTCTTTCGTATTTGCGCTATTTCAATCGCTCTCCCCTACTTCCGTTCAACTCAAACAAAACGCGCAAACAGTATAAGTAATTACTATTCACCTCAATTTCACAAAACGGCGAAGATGCGCTAAATGGAACGAGGACAAACCGCGCAGTTTTTGCCAATTTATTTTAAAAATATTTGTATATACATGTTTATATAGGATATGTTTGCAATAGATAAATATTTAAGCTTGTCAGCTTTAAGGAAGTTAATTAAATGGGAAAAGGGCACGGCTTCTTTTCGTTGTTGTTAGATTAGCGAAAGTTAATATTTCGTAAAAGTTTCGTATTTTTAAAATTTTGTATAGAAAAATTTGCGAATAAAATTCAATGAATTCTAAATTGAAAAGTTTCTATTGGCTTTGAGGCGACATGACAATTATGTATGTACTAAGTATTATATGCTGCTATACAGGGTTGTGTCCTAGGTCAAATTTCTTATTTTCAACCAAAAGCGTTAATCAAATAAGGGAATTCTTCAAAAGCAATGTGATTATAAGGAGAAAAATGAAATTTAATTGCATTAGAATATATTTGCATATTTTTAGCAGTATGAACTTAAAATATATGTTTATATATATATTTATATTTATCAGAGTTTGTATTTTTATACCCTAAACAGGAAATATAAAGTTTGCCACGAAATTTGTAACACCCAGAAGGAGACCCTATATAAATTATCAGCGTGACGGGTCATGTCCGTTGGTATATCGCGAACTTGTCCTTAATTTTTGAGATATCGATCTCGAATTTTGCAAACTTTCATTTATCTCCAAATAGTTGCTCATTTGTCGGAACCACCGATATCGCACCACCAATATAGCTGCCATACAAAGTGAACGTTCGGAATAAAATACTTGTATTGAAAGGTTTTTTATTTCATATCTTTACGAAATTTACATGGGTCATTGTCTAAGGCAATGCCGCAGAAGTTGTTCAGATCGGATCACTATAGCATATAGCTGTCATACAAACTTACCTAACAAAATCAAGTCCTTGTATGCAGAACTTTTTTATTTGACAACATATCTTCACGAAATTTGGCAAGAATTATTGCCTAAAGCAACACCATAATCTTCGAACATATTATTAAGATCGGACCATTATAGGTCTTTTTATACACTTTTATGCTGTAAGAAATGCAACTGTGGAGGGTATTATAGCGTTTTTGCTCGTTTAAATTTGAAATAAATTATAATGTCTGCTGTGTGTCGCCTTCGACGGAAATTTTTCGAATCGATATTCATGTTTTCTAACTTCTTGTAATTAACTTAAAAAATTCAGAGAAATTACACTTAATACTTAAATATTCATATGTGTGTGTGCCTATATTATTATATATACAGATATCCAGTCTGTATAAACGTAGCGGCTCCTCGAGGGACATGTAAATATTGTATTTGCATTATAGAATACACCGACTCTTCTCCATGCATCGTTTTGCACTCGAAGCACTCAGAGTATGAAATGTGAAATGCAGAATTTGTGTAAAGCAAAAAATGCAAATATTTTTACATCAAACGGTATCAAAAATTCACTTACACAATGGCACTGAATGAGATAACCTATTAAATTAAGTGTTTAACAAACATTATCCTGCAGCGCAATTTATTTTCGCTTTTGAGGCGATTTTATTTACATAAATAAATTTAAATGTATGCGCGAAGTAGGGCAATAACAAAAGTTTACAGATTTTGGGTGAAAAGTGAAATAAATTATATATTTTTTCGGATGAATAAAAATATTTTTCCAACTTCTTCGATTACTTCTAATATTTTTATTTTATTGTATGGCATTTTGTTATATATTATATTATATAATATTTTTCTGATTCATGCTTTTAAAAATAATTATAAATCTTCGTAAACTCTCAGCGTTGCCTGAACTGCAAAACGAGGGTGAGAATGAATTACTTCCGGCCCGAGGTAAATCTTGAAAGGCCCCGTGAGCACTCTGAGTCAAGATTCTCCTTTCTCGCAGCGGTTATGGTCCTAATATTTAAAATTTTACCGGACGCCATATTTTCAAAACATTTTATGTGGAAATGATAACAAATTGATAGTGATAACCAAGATTCGGATAGCGATAACCAATACCACTTTTATCCATCCTATATTAAACGGTTATCGGATTCGACGCTTTGTTTTTCTTCGATATTTTTTCAAACAAGTCCAAACATGTATTTTATTCCATTTGCAAGTTAATCACACCATAACTTGCAAATGGAATAAAATACATGTTACAAGCTCAGCTATCATTTGAAATTGAAAAATCTATAAAAAATAGCCATAGAAGTTGCTTGAAAGAAGACGAGCTAGATACCTTCAGAAATCCAGGTGAACTAGCGGGAATAAAAATAAGACGTCTAAGCAGATTTATGATGGGTTAAGGGTTATGTGTCGATAGTTGAGATCCAGCTATAGAAGTTTTTGTTTTTTTTTTTTGCTTCTCAAAGGCCTGACTGTCATTAACAGTGCAAGTGTGATCGCCCTGCTTTTCTTGGAGAAAGAAAAGAATCTACGGCCCAAAATAGAAGTATATTATGATCGATATTGTTTTGTAAATAAGGGTGACGGCTAAACTTTCACCAAAGTATTAAATATCGGTACAAAAAAAACCGATATTTGTTTCGAAAAATTTAATCACTAGCTTTAATACATAGGACGAAGTTAATTTGTCGGCATTAATTAACCGTTTGAGAATTAAATAAACTGTGTACTAGACGAACAAAATATCAAAATCTGAAAGTTCTTTTACACATTTTGTGGAACGGAAATGAAATTACTCTCCTTCCAAATAATTAGAAGAAGTCGCAAGACCTACCAAGGTTGCTGTTTTTATTGAAATGCTGAAGTACTGCAGACAATAGGAAACAGAGCTAGTCGGTCATTTATTGAAAAGAGCATTAGGAAATATATGGCATGTGATAAAGCAAGAAACAAACATACAATACATATATTCGACATTTTTAGGTTATAACTAATGATATCGATTCTGGCTCTATATCAGTACCGACAACATTATAAGCTGAAGACGATTTATTTTAATATAAAATTCTCTCCCGACATTTAAATGTAATGTCTTATAGATTTCTTAAACCTTTTGTGATGAAAAAAGTTGATCTAAAGAAAATATTCGGAGATGGCATTGTAAGTTTTTGATAGAAATATTCAAAAACAATAAAAATATAGTATTTTCAGCGGAATCTACATGCACACTCGGGTAGATTTTTTCTTAGCTATGTGAAGCGATATTTCTATTTTCTAGAGATTAAATTACTGTTTCTCTCTCTTAGTGAAAAACACGAACGTGAAAAACAAAACGATTGCATTATTTTATATTCATTATAAGAAATTGTTTCCACAAATAGGAAGGTTAGTTTGATAACTGATCTTTCGCGTTATATTTACAACTTTCTATTCTCAAACACATCTTTCTGATTTACGAAAAATTCAGTGAATTGAAAGTCCTTTTGTTAATATTTCAAATGAAACGATGAGCAATTTGAGTGCTAATTTAGTCCACAATGAGTTCACCGTTTTTCAAATACGAAGCTACACACATTTCTACATACATTTTGTATATATGGATGAGAACATCACCTAATTGCATCCTTTGAATAATTAGAATAAACTGAGTTTGCACATTAAACCTAACTGCAATTTCCGCTTATTTCCTTTTATTGCAGAACTTTATGACTTATATGAACTACTTTGATACATTGGTGGTTTTCGCGTTGCCATTCGTTTCGATATTCATATTGAACACCATAACCAGCTATCGCGTTTGGAAATTTGCAACTGTGCGACGCTCATTGACAATGCAAAAGAGGTAATTAAAAATCAGTTATACACGATCAAAGCATACACATAATTTAAGAATTTTTAATTTCACACATATACAAAAGTGGACACACCAGTTAATTAAGTGGGCTAAAGCTGAAGTATTCTCTTGGATGAGGTTTAGATTAGAAGGAGAAACAGTTAATGACATATGAATACCATTCTACTTTTCGGAGTGAATTTCATGAGAATGTGGTAGGAAATATTTAATATTTAGCAATTCTGAAAGATTTTAGATGTAAATAAATATGGAGACCTTTTAGGCAATACTCCTTTTTAAATATAATTTAGAAGATTTAAGGGGTTCCAATCAGGGTTAAAAAATAAGTTTTTCTTAGAAAATTTTTTTAGATGAATGAAGTTCTAGATATTGACTCAGGAGCAAGACTTATATGATCTTTTAGGTTTCTGTAAGTCCGAAAATATTTTTTTCAGAACCAGCAAGTTCAAATAGTCAGTTTTCCTGGATAAAATAGTTAATTAAGAAACTGATGTAAGCTCATCTATTAGGATTATTGTGGTTCGCATTTTCTGAGTTGCCAGCTTGTCTCTATTTACACATTTAAGTAATTGTACATACTATTCTAAGCGTTAAAGTTTAATTTGAAAGGTTGAGGCTTGAGATAATTGGAGCCTCTTTAAAAATAAAATTAGAAAACCGGAAGAAAACTTTTTAAAACAAAATTATTTCATTACAAAAATATGTATTTCATAGGAAAACACATCAATTGTCTAGAGACTCGCTGATGTCTTCAACGTATCTTACGACTTCATTGAAGAATCACAAGAATTCCACAGCGCAAACTATGCTGACCGAACTTGAGCTACCGATCTGCAAACGAAGATTAGGTGAGTTTATTTAAAATATACTTGTATATGAATTTTAATTTAAAAAATATATATATTGACTATTATACTATAATTATACAAATTTTGAAAATGCTAAAAGTCTAAATGGGTTGAGAATCTTTAAGAGAAATTCGGTGGTAAATGCAGTGTTTAATTTTTTCTTATACTGTAATATCATTTTTAAGTTTTTTTTAGGACTGTAATATCATTTTAAACTAATGCAACAAAAATTGTGTGCATAAGACGAAAGTCAGATAGCCTTCTAAATTTCTAATTTTAGTTTTGTCCATATTTTCCATAGTTTAGTGTACTTTTTGCCACAGTGTACTTTTCTGATAACATTACCTTTTGAAATTTTTTGGAAAATGTCTCTCCGAAAACTGATCTAAATGACCTTTTCGTGAGCGCACTAAAGGGTTAAGATATTTCTCAAAATTTTTTCTTGTGAATTTTTACTAATTTTCTATATGTCTATAATATATAATATCATTAGAAAATATATCAGAGGTCATTGCATCTTCTCACTACTGTTATATTGACTAGTATAGAATATGAACAAGTAGAACATAAAACGATATTTTCACTGATTCATATGATCCATTTAAGATAAATTATAATTTTCATCAATTGAATTCATATAGTCATTCTCCATTTAATGTCCGCGAAACAAAAATATTAAATTCACTAAACAAATGTGTTTATTTAAAGTATTATCACAACTAATGGAGAGTGTGCGGCCGGCAATGATGCGCATTTTACCGAATTTATTAAATACATAAGTCATCATTTGGAACAGCGGAAAGCGCGTATTTCTGCTTGAATGAGCTTTTGTGGCTTTTCCAATTGCGAATCGAACAAAACATTGCACAAATCATGCTGAGTAACGGAAAAAAATCACCACAAATGGTGACTTTTTATTGAAATACAATTGAATAGCTCTTAAATAGACAGACAAACGAGCCTGTATGAGAGTGTGTGAGTGCATTAGATAATCTCAATTCGTTTTCGTTTAAAAGCTTATCATATAAACTGGAATAAATAAGCAGTATTAGTCCGTTATTGATTGCGCCATTCAGCGGAAAATCGCAGTGAAAAATGCATTTAACATACATTTTTGTTGTTTTTATACCCTAAACAGGGTATATTAAATTCGCCACGAAGTTTGTACTACCCGGAAAGAAACGCGAAAAAAATATATACAATCGGCTTGACAAGCTGAGGGGATTTAGCCGTGCTCATCTGTCCGTATAGTACACACAAAGTGGTCTCTCAGTTATTGAGATATCGAGCTGATATTTTGCATACGTCCTTTTCATCCCAAGAGGATGCTCATTTGTCGGAACCGTCGATATCGGACCACTATAGCATATAAGTTCCATACAAACTGACCGATTGAAACCAACTGTTTATATCAAACACTTTTTCATTTGTGAAGGTTGTTATTGTTTCGTTGCTACCGAAGTTAACATTATTGTTTGCTGTAATAACTAAATGTGTCAGGCAATTTATTTTCGTCACATGTTTACACCTGAATTTTGTGGTTACTTTCAGCGAAACAAAAATCCACCGCCCACCAACAAGCGGCGGTAACAATAGATAACAGCGAGACCGGAAAACTGTCAACGGTTTAATTCGCTACAATTATGAACACACACACAAAAACATAGAAATTGGCAAAACGGCATGAGAAATGCGAACTAGTTTTGTCGACCTTTGTAATGCACCCATACACCCATTTAAGTTACTCAAAGGTATTGAGCTGGAAAATGGCATTTCAGAGTACTGCTTTGTGATGTTGAGCTGTCCACCTTCATCAACGACACGATATGCTCACGGGTATGCGTGTGTGGGCAGCTATTACCAGTGTTGTAGGCAGATTGTTAACCTAGAGGGTTTAAGTCGTTTCTAGTAACACCTTATTTTACTTAAGATAATAGTAACCCGTGAATTCAACAAATATCTGAAAGTTTAAATTAAAGTTAATTAAAACCAAAAGATGAGTTTTGGATTAATTTTTCACCAAATAGGGTCTTATTAACTTAACTGCGGAATTTACTTCAAGACATTTAAATTTTCATCTCTCGGAGAAACTCAAATGTCGTCTATTAAAAATGTGATTTCTAATGGTCATGCTTGGTTCAAAGTGAATAACTTGAAACGTACTGAGCATGGAACTGAGTAAGAAAGATCTTTATCAACGCACAATTCTATCATTCTATAAGTATTTTATCATACATGGAAATTTTTTTAGTTATTATAGCGGTGGAAAATATTCCGCAAATACATTTTAGTTGACACTATTTTACAGGATATAAATAAGCGTCCGTTTTTATCACATTGACCCAATCGGAGTTTAAAGCATTAACAGAGAAGAAAAACTGTGAGGTTCTTAAAAGGAAAAAAAAAAAATCACCTCGAATTACATAATAGTGAATTAACTGTCGTAAGTTCGGCCCCCGTCAATACAAAGCTACTAAGCAACCCTGTACAAATCATCCGAATCGGTGTAAGCTCGGTCAAAACTGAGATGGTTAAGGCAAAAAACAAGTTCTCGTATATCTTTCTCAGAATTATATTATTCCTCGGCCGAAAATGATACACATTCGAATAGAGAGCTCACTCTCTCTCGGCATCTTCTCTTAATACTTAAACTTATTAAGAAGAGCTTTTCAATGAGTACTTAATGCATTAACCAACTTAATAATGCCTACAAATATCGAAATATGCTTCATAAAAACAAATTTAATTCTAGCATAATAAGTACGATTGGATTTAGGATCTGAAGGTCTCAATGGGAATATAAATAATCCATACTACCACAAATTTTTGACGGGGCACTCTCCAATAGGCTTACATGCGGTAAGGTTACAAATCTTGACGGACACAAATTGTCAAATCTGTATGGAAGAAAGAGAAGGCGAGGAGAAATCATCTATAAACTTACTTCTCAACTGTCCTGCCTTTGAAAGACTGAGATTGAAATAGACGCTGGACGCTTTCAGTAAGCTCAAAGCGATTCGTCGATCTATGAGGGTCTGGTGGTCCACTAGGATTTTTGGGAAGAAGCCAAAGCACCAGCGTTCACAGCTGTCCAAGTGGAATCCTGCGTTATCTTTGGTGCACCTAACTACTCATATAAGCAGAACCAAACAGAGTGCAAATGTATATCAATGTTAGATTACTTGTATTTAGCATATACAAGTATTCACATATAAAATACATACATGTATTTATTTTTATATACCTACATATATAATTTTCGATGATCCTCATTTCGTTAAATTTCACATCTAATCATTCTCCATAAATTTCTTTTAATCAACAGAGAAACAAAAAGTCAACAGCTCATCGCAATTGAAGGTAACTAAGATGCTGTTAATTGTGTCCTCCGTTTTTGTAATTCTCAACTTGCCCAGCTGTGTGATGCGCATAGAAACGTATTTGGAGGTAAGTACCCACACACAACAACTTAAAGTTCTACTTAAAAGCTATAGATACACCTTGATATGTAATCACGATGTTGACAACCATGATGCCTGTAGCATATGATGATGTCATGATGATTGTAATGGGTGTTAACCGATTTTTATTACATTAGTACAAATACACATATGCATTCGTGTGTCATGTGAGCTCGTAATATGTTATATGATTCATTCTGATTGTAACGACAGGAACGTTGAACTAATCTAATTAAGGAAAGCAGATAGCAATTCGTACTTCATAAAAACATATACAATAAGATATACCTATGTTAGGTACACATATGTATATAGGTATATACATACAAATATACACGCGTTCACTTTTGTTACCAATGCGATATGCGGAAATTAAGTGAGTGCTTAGATGTTAAGGCTCTATTACTTTATGTACGAAGACAGAAATACCAAAGAGGATACATGTTTGCTTTCAGCGAATTTTGGAAGGAGACATTGAAGTTATTGACATAATGCGTAAAAAGTCATATACCATAAATATTCAATCAATAGTTGGCGTATACTTTCATTAAAGTTTAGTTTAGTTCAAGTTTAATTTAACTAAAGCACACTTAAATTCATCAATAAACTCAAATTGACAAGCCAGGTGGCTGAAAAAGTGAATATTGTTTATGCTTCTAATAATATCCCTTTCGTCAATTCCGTTCCGCTAATTTTAATGTCATAGTTGCATCACGCTCTGGCAGAAGAATTGTCTAAAATATTGTTAAAATAATGTAAATAATCTAGTCTGATCGTGATGTAAGCTCTGTTTCGACTGTCCAGGGGATAAAGATTGCACAAAACCCCGTTTGGAACCATTTAAATAATGCTGGATACAAAACTAAGCTTAATGTATGGGTTCCACAAGAGTTTAAGCCAAAAAAAACCTCATGGATCGAATTTTCAATTGCGAACCGCTGCTGAATCGCAAAAATATCTATCCATTTCTATAGCGAATGGTTACAGGTGATGTGATGTGAAAGTGTGTCACTTCCGATAACATCCGATTGACCTACGTTAGTCCCAATCGAATGGCACTGTTCAAGCTAGCTAACTGGTCGTTGGTATCAGTTAAAAATTTTACTTTAAAAGATGTTTAACTGATTTCTTATTAATCAGTTTTGAATAATGATTTACAGTTGTACATTAATGTATTTGCTGATAAGGGTGTGATTGCTTTGCTATTACAGGTTGGTTAAAAAGTTTCTGCGCTCGAATTGAAAAAATATTGTTTTTGGTACGAAATATATTTTTTTAATCAATATAATTTCCATCAACTGCAATACACTTATTCCAATGATTCTCCAATAATTTTATGCCATCCCTAAAATGACTTTCCGGGAGTTTTGCAAAATACCCGTTTACGACTGTAATTGCTTCTTCATTAGACGAAAAACGCTTTCCACGCAGGAATTGTTTCAGGTTTCTGAAGAAGTAGTAGTCGCTGGGAGCAAAATCTGGTGAATACGATGAATGCTCAGGCTATTCGCACTTTAATTCGTTAAATTTTTTCATTGTAAAACACCTTTATGAGCAGCTGCATTGTCTTGATGAAAAATTATTTTTTGTACTGCAAACCAGGTCTTTTCTCACGAATTTTTTCATTTTTGCAATAATATTCAGATTTTTTTCTGCAGATAATAAAGAAACAAAATTTATTTTGCATCTAAAAAAACTGATGGCATAACCTTCTTTGCTGATGTGATTTGCGACTTCACCTGCTTTGGAGCTGAACAACCAGCTTCAGTTCACTGTAAACGTTCTTGTTTCAATCAAGGATCATGGTGGTAGATCCAAGTCTCATCCATAATTATAAAACGATGCAAGAAATCGGTTTTATTCTGCTTAAAACGCTCTGAATTACGTTGAGAAATTTGCTATCGATTCAGTTTTAGTTGAATTGTTAAGGTGTGCGGCACTAACTTTCCAAACAGTCCTTTCATATGTAATTCAAACTTGGATCTTCACTAACAATATTATGAACTAGCTCAATGATATCTGGTGTGGTTGCAGTTTTTGGTCGTCCTTCGCGTGGATCGTCTTCAAGCCTCGTACGAGCACGTTTAAATTCACCAGCCCAAAATTCAACGGTGCGTTTTGAAGGCACTTCTAACAATTATTCATAAATTTCTTAAACCTTTCAAAACAAAGAATGTAATCACTGCGCGATATTGACTTTTAACTTTGTTCTCACGATAGATGTACCAACTAGAGAAGAAAAAAAATTCGGAGCTAGTAGTGCTATTTGTTAGTGAGACCAACAAACTTTTCAACCAACTTGTATTATTTATATATTGATAACAACTAATATGCTACTAAATTCGCTTAAGAACTAATTTTTAGGGATATATAATACTAGAGCATACAAAAATCGGCACGCGCCATACTAACGCCCTGCTCAGTATAAATTTTAATAAAATTAGTTTTTGTTCAAATCTTCAGAATCAATATCCTTGATGCTTGCTTTGGTACCGCTACAACTTTCTATAATTTAATATTGAATACATTAGCATGAATCATGTACAAATTATAGTAAAGCAATTCTATTCATAGAATTTGTCTCATTTAATCACGTAACGAAAACAACTTGAATAAATGCGCATACTTCAATGATTTTACGAATAAGTGAATGTTATTATTAGTGGTCCTATGGTCCTTGCAGTCGTATATATATATATAGAAATATATTATTAGCATGTGTATGCAGATTTCTATGGATTTTTGATTATCCCAACAAACAAAATATCGAATGTTTGAGAATATTTATGATTCGATTTGACTAGTGTAGTTCCCAAACTATTCGCTAGTCGATGGAAGCTAGAGTAAAACAACGAGAGATCGATTGGTGATTTTAGAGTCCCCAATTGCCAAACGAAATAAATATTCTAAAAGACATTGAAATATTAAACAAGTAAATTTTAAATCGATGGCACATTTTTCGATAGCTTATACTTTTGAAAATAACATACTAAAATTTTACATCGATAACTCAGATAGTTTTTGGGTTACAGCCTTTGAAAGTGTAGCCGCCCAGTTCAATTAGCTTCAACAGTTTAGTATATTTAAACGCGTTTTTTTGGAAACAGCATTTTTCAAGTTTGCTGGAATGATGACTCTAAGACAAATGGTCCGATCATTGTCAAAATTTTCCTGCATGTTCTGAATGCTTCTGCTTACAATGACCTCTCAGTTTTGTTTCGATCCAAAATCGAATTTTGGCAAGCCAGAAACGACCAAAATTTTCGTTTTTAAACGTCGCCATTTTGTCAAAGTTTGAGTCGTAAGTTATTGTACGGACAATATCTTCTAGTCGAGAAAGATTTCATTAACGGAAAAAGTCGTAATCGCTGCAACAGTGGAAACTCGAAAAATATTTAATTTTTGTCTTCAAAAATTTCCAAAAATCGCCATTTTTTGTGCTGTTACACTAGATTTCCCTTATGAATTCAAATCATAATCAAATTCTGATTCAACAGCTACATTAGATTTTGATTAAGGATATATTATTCATTGAGAAACTGATTGTGATCCCAATATCGTTTCAAATCTCTACGTTTATCTATGTAGTAGCTAGTCAGCTAATCATGCTCTAATATGTCAATAACTAAATTTTGTGTTTACTGTGATACTAGGTTATATATTTAAAATATTCATAAAAACAAGACGCATTGAAAGTGAGTTCGAGCAAGTCTTTGAAATATAATATCATTATATGATGTATGCTTGTATATATTTATACACAAAAAACATAGGTAGTAGAACTATAACTTTAGATGAACGAAAAATTCTGATGAACATTTGACAAGCTTCTATTTAATACAAATACAAACATTATTGTTCGCATATAATACCACAGCATATAAAAAAATGTGGTCAGTGAATGCGTGTGGCATAATAAGTACATGTACATGTGTACACACATATTCAGATTTAGATCTGATAAGTAAAGTCAACAAACATAAAAGTTTAAAAAGAAACCGCGCAACTAAAAACTTTTACTAAAAGTATGTAAATATTTGGGAATGTCAATGCACCATGCAATATGGCAATCGATAGTTGGCAAACTTCTCTGCTTATTACATATTCATATCTAATGCTTCAACTATGTATAAGGGTATGTAATATAAAAAATATATAAATAATATATAAAAGAAAAAATTAAATTAAGCACACATACTCATACAAAATATGGTTCCATATATGCCCAGCTGGGAAAAGAAGTACTACATAGGCATAAGAGTATATGTTTCCAGTTCAGAACTAGAACAATTTTTCGTGATTTGCAAGGGTTTAGGGAACTGTTTTATGGAACGAGTGATCGGAGTTTTGATTAAAATATCGTTGATACTGCTACAAATTCTCCCTGTACACTATTTTGAGTCTAGTAGTTGAGTGAACTAGTTACAGGATTTATTTCTCTACTTCAACTGTCAAATTTCAAAAATTTTTATACTAATTCTGAAATATGGAAAATTGATGCCTGCTATATTTTACAGCTGTTAATATTGCATGTTTGAAATAAGACAAAAAAAAACCAATTCTAAACCAGAGCATCTATACGCTAGAGGGTATAAGTACACATAATTATAGTATCTTTGTGATATTTTTTTGTTGCAAAAATATAAAGGTAAATTTTTTAAAAATTTATAGTGGTTACTTTGAAATAATGGAAAGAGAAAAGTCGACGAACAGGAAGCATTTCGTTGCTGCGAAGCTTTCTGAAATACGCGCACATTATAGATTTATGAATATTATAAATTATGAGAAAAACTTAGTAACGGACTTTTAGTTTCCAAAGCAGTAACTTTGATTGTGAAACACACCGAAAACTGTTTGAGTGAGAATGTTGAATCTGTTGTATGCAGATTCGAAAATCGTCAGTATAGTTTACAAAATCACTCTTTATATTTCTGGGAGGTATTATATATTTCAAAGAAAAAAATCACTTATTTGCTCCTGCGGACAGCAGCTAAATGAAAAACTGTAAAGGTGTCAAATTTGAAGTATGTAAGGAAAAATAATGTATGAACACAATCGAGAGGCTAAATATTGAAATATTAGAAATATAAAACATATATCATAAACAAAGAATTTTTTCTCATGCTATAAAATAAAAATAGCGACCGCTTAGAGTGTAGCAAAAGGGGTTTCGTGATGATTTTTTTCTTCATATCAAATAGAAACGTTTGAGAGGTTAGGAGTTGAGAAAAAGAAAATATTAAAAAAAAGAAGTTAGAGAAGACAAAAGTGTAAAAAAATGTTCGAAAAAATGCTTAATTTGAACTTGTTTTCACCGCTTTGACATTTCCTTACATTGCTACTTTTAATTTGTAACTAAGATTAAGCGTAAGTACCTGTCGTTGTAATTACACTCGAAGCATCCTCAGTTTTTATTCAAATGCTAAAAGTTATTTGATAATCACGAGCAATACAACTGCATAGTAGACCATCTTTCAGCTATTTCAAGCTTAAATTTGTAATATATATGTATATAATGACTGTAATACCGAAATAAAACGTCTATATACATATGTATTTAATGACATCATAAGGAACACGACAAGAAATTTAAACAATACCTGAAAAGAGAACAAATAAAAAAAAAATCATTAATGATTTGTAAAAAACAAAAAACATAGTTTAAATATTAACTTAAGGACTACGTCGAATTAAATTCTTCGTTGCAAAAATGATCAAATCTTTTCAACCAGTAGTCCGATTTATATAAAGTAAAATATTTTATTTATAAAAAATTTATTTTAGATTTGAAAAAAACGAATAAGCACCCAAGAATTATGTTTTATTAATAAAAAGTTATAATTTTTGCGGAATCCTGTTCATTAGTGCTTTTATGTTTAAAATTTTTATATTAAGATATATGGGGACTACGCGTAGTATTAACTCGATTTTATCCATTTTTGGCATCAAGACTTATTATCATCAGATGAGCAGACCAGATCGTTTCTGAGTTTCACTAAAACAACTCATATCTTGGTCGATATGTCGATGGTTAAAGGTGATTTTTATAGAAAAAAAGAAATAAATAATAACAAAGTACTTCAAGAACAAAGCCAGAATTTTCGAGAAGTTTAAAAATAGATATTATTTCAACACGATAAAGAGTTTAAGAACACACTACAAATTATAGTCTTACTTTTTCCTCGTGGATTTCAAAAAATATTAAACTACAAATTACCCTTCACAACTGCTAAAATTTATCAATTTTAAAATTGTGCGTATGAAGTTTTACAAAACCAAAAACAGAAGTATTCCAAAAAATTGGCTCACATATCCTGGAAAAAACCATAATTAATAACTGTTGCCGAAAAGAAACAAAAATTTGAGAGCATAGGTATGTAGATGAGGGCGTTTGACTCATATTACATCAGATAAGAAGATGTTTAATGAAAGAACTTGAGTTATAAAAGCGTACAAATGGTTGGCAGCTATGCAGGAGATTAACATCTTTTAGCAGCAACCAGTCAACTACTAAAACACTCACTTCAAATACACACATATACAAAACTGTATGGATGCACAAATTCCTCTTTGAACTTTCTAATTTGCTTACATAAATATGTTGGTAATTACTGTTAATTAGTTTGTTCATTTCATAATTTCACACATGTGAATGCGGAAGGAAGAAGCATAAGGAAAGTGCCACTCACTTGCGTCAGTTGTTGCAAATGGGAATGCCACGCAACTTGTAGCTAAATATATAAATGCTTTTCATTATTTTAACTCGATAACTTTGGTGCTAACAACTAGGCGACGCAGAGAAACAAGCACATTACATGTTGGTCTCAAACCTCTGCCGATTCTTATCGAACAGAAATTTACTTCAGATAAATTTAAGAAGGGGCTACAAGTCTTATGGGCGATAGGGAGTAAGTTGACTTAGACTCAGAGATACTATGATGAAAGGAAATACCAAAAATTGGACTTTTGGTAGATACTTGAAATAAAATTTTGGTTTGTTTTTTGCTATAAAAAATTTCTGTATCTCTATCTCGCTCTATTTCCGCCTATGTCGCTCACTCTCCCTCTTCTCTAACTATCTTCATCTCTGTTTATCTATCTCCCTCTCTATCTATAATCGTCTCTATTTCCGTTTATCTTTGTCTCTGTCTCTATATCGCTTCTCTTCTCTCTATCTCCCTCTCCTCTACCTTTCTTCCTCTGTACCTTTCTATCTCTTTTTCTTCTATCTATCTTCTTCTTTATCTCCCTTACTCTATATTTTTACGTTTCTTTCTATCTATTTCCCCACTCTCTCATTCTACCTTTGTCTCTGTCTCTCTATCTCCCTGCCTTTCTTTTTTCTCTCTCTACTCACTCCATATTCATTTATAATTTAACTTACCAATTTTTTTCTTACCAATAAAATCCACAAAAGAACACTCTGAATTTGTTAATAATACTTCGTTTTTGTTGTTTAACAACGCGTCTCAAATTCGGTGAAATCAAAAAGCAAAACACAAAGTTAGTTGAAATAAATATTAAAATGCTTTTAGGCGATAGACTAACACTGTTCTGCTTTTGTCGCCTAGTCTAACCTAACAGGCAATGCTGTAAAATAATTGAAGTGCTAATTTATCTTTAATAATATTCAGTGAACATTTTCCTACACTATAATTAAAAGTTTTCGTTATTTTTGTCTATTTTCAGACGCAGACATCCACTAACGAGAAGGCCACAGTAATTTGCCAGTACATTTTTCAACTGCTTTTCGTCACAAATTATGGCATCAATTTTGTCCTATATTGTGTAAGCGGTCAAAATTTTCGGTAGGTAAATAAGGAATCGCATGGCGTTAATAGGTATATGTTTAAAATTTATGACAGTTATTATACACACATAAATGCGCATATGACAAAGATCAAGGGATGTGGCAGTGATTATGTAAATTATGTATTCCAGCAGTATATAATAAATGTACGGCGTGCAGCAATGTCCGTGAAGAACTATATTTTAGAGGTGTGAAATTGCTTAAGTGATGGCTGTCAAAGTAAACACATGTTTTGACATTTATGTGGGAAATGTTGGACAAAATAGTCAAAAAAATACAAACAAAAATCGTAAAATTTCTTTTAAAAATCTTACTGTCAAACATTCATCACTTTGAGGTACTTTTCTGGGCTAAATGGTAAATAATCGTTTCTTCGTTTAGACTGCGAACGATTTGAAGTACAGCAATCTAAGATAATCTCCACGCTTCCTTCTATTCTGAAGAGAAAAGTTACTAAAGGTCTATGCCAATAAACTACAAGGTACTGATTCGAACACCACTGTTTCGAGTCAATACGGAAAATAATCTTCAGAGTCCATTGCATTCAGAAAAAGTTACTATCGGGCGATGATATGGAGGCTGACCGAATCATATCAAGAAATAGATCTGTGAATTGGTCACCTATTTTGATTCTTTCGCTCCTATTTTGAATTCGCTGATGGCACTGAAAACCATCCCCTGCCGAGATTTATAAGAAGTACAAGAAAATTTGTAGCAATAATAAAGATTTGTATTACAACATGAAATTATATTTTTTTGTAAATCCAAGTCAAATTTGATCAGATGATCTGCTAATAAACCAACTACGACTAAGTGAAGCTGACTATGATAGAAAATGCATTATGAAATTGGAATTGGGCAGAGAAGATGATGAAGTAATAAAACTTAGTGTAATAAAAAGCCAAAATATTAATCTTTTGCCTGCGTTTTATTTGAAGTAAATCAGCTTATAACTACGAAATAGATTTCATTTCCATATTAAGTAAGTGTATGCATATATTAGAGTGCTTTTTATATAGAGTAAGAAAATTTTTACAAAATATTATCTAAATCTTAAACCATTCGCTGATATTACAAGGTATAGTCGCATAGGTATAGTCGCATTAAAACGTTGGGCTTAGTTGAGTAAGGTTAGGTTAGTGATAAACTTCATATTGACCCTCGAAGAACTTTTAGATTTTTTTTTTGATTTTTTGCATTTTGAGCGAAAGTTTACACTACTGATATATAGATTTTGGATACTAAATTTAATTTTTATGCTCTTGCTGTAGAACTCTGAGCTTGGACCACTTCACAACACATCTACATAACCGTCTCCAATTGAGTTCTAACTTTATATAATATATACCACATCTTCTACTGTAGTAATATTAATTTGGATCATTTAATTACAAAATAATTTTAAAGAACTGCTCTATAGCAGAAAAAACATTATATTCAATTATTTATGTACCACCCTAATGTATTTTAATTTAAAATTAACATTTCAATTGATAAGCTTTCACCATAATCACACCCCAATGATTAGTAATTGCATTTTAATTACATATTTACATAAATTTTCGAACAGACAATTCAACTTTGCTTTGCTTTTCTTGCTTTCTTTTTTTTCTTTTTTCCTCTTCTCTTCCCTGTGCTACACTTTTATAGCAAAGCAGTAATAAGCATGTATAGAAATATGTTTAAGCGGGCGACAACGCAGCGGGAAGGCACCACACAAGTGACAAGAGGTAGGTAAATGTTGTTGCCTCTAATTAGCGCAAAGAAATGTGACTGTGAAGGTGCAGAAATGTATAACTTCATTTCGGTTTATTGTATTTCATTGAAGCACACGCGTTGACACATATGCACTCACATATACTCATACACATACACATACGAACATAATGTGAAAAAGCTGTAAGCAACAAGTGATAGCTCTATACCCATATGAATGTACTTACATAAGTATATGCATATTAAGATGTCTGTTATTTACCAATTATTTCAAAGAAGAATATATATATATATTTAAATACACAATTTAATGCTCTACAAAAAAGATTTAATTGGTTTTTTCCTTTAAAAATTATGCGTAGTAGCATGACTTAACTAATGTACTTTATTCATACAGTACACCATGTCGTATAAGCAACACATAATTTATTTATAATTCACTTGTATGAAGGCTCAGTTCATTCGATGTATAACTTTGACTGCGTATAACTTTAAATGGAATGTTTTTATCGGAAAAAATAACGATACCTTTTTTGTAGAGAACTAAATTTTTATCAGAATAAAATTTTTTCAAAGTTGTAGATTTACTGGTTTAATGTAGAAAGATTAATAAATGACATGTTATATACCATATATGGGAAATAAATTGGGTTTAAATTGAAAATAAAGAGCTTGTTTATGTTAGATAATAAAAAAAAACACAAATTAACTTGGGAAGTGGCGGACACCCTAATGTATACATGCAAGTTTAATAGATATTTAAGTGAAATTGCCGGAAGTGAAAATTTCATAATTTTTATAACAGAAATAAATTGACAAATTAAATGCACATTCACACACATTCTTTTATACAATATGTAAATATCTTAAACTAGTTTTACTGGAACTCTTTTTAAAGAGTATTTACATCGAATTCATTTATTTAAGTTATCAAAAATAGTATCGGAGTCTCTTTATGGTTTCATGTATACATTGTAGCTATTTTAATTGTATTTTTTAAATGCTTCTGGCACATTTTTTTATGAAAAGCACACTAAAATCACTTAAAGCTCAAAACGTAAATATTCCATTTTTCGTAATTTAATGAGGATTTAACAGAATTCTTTTAATATTTTAAATATTGAAATAAACCATGCTCAGTCGGATCATATAAATTATGAAAGTGATAAGTAGTTTATATAAGAGTTGAACTGTTTTCAAAAGCTTAAAAATGAAAGCTCGAAATAAAATATAACTTATAGTAATGAATTGTGAAAGATTTTTGATTTTGGCGGGTAGCGGGTGGCAGCCTTGGGAGACTTTTGATGCAGTTTTAAATATCTCTTACCAACTTGTGGTTTATCATTCAGCAACTGAGACACTAGAATTTTGAAACCAAGTCTATATCTATCGCAGAAATCATAATGGACGATCGAACACTAATAGTGTTCGTAGTCAATTGTGGCAGAGAATGTTAATGAATAGAGAAGGCGCAAATGTTAGCTGGTCCCAATCAGGGTCCCAAACAAAATGTATATACATACAAACATACATATGCACAGATGTTCTTTGACATGCGCATGAAAAAATAACTGTGATAGGATTGGAACTTAGGAAAAATTATTAATGTTGCAATAACGAATTCTGCTATACTAGCAGCACCACAGGCAACATCTCTATTTATGAGTTTAATGTGCGTACTCAAACAGCTATCGTCATGTACATCTCTCAAATGAACAATTTGTATGCGAATATTCTCGAAATTGCCTTTACTTCAATCACATGTCCAAATATATTTTCATGTATGTACACATATGTATATATGTATGTATGTCCCTCAATATGACATTGGTAAAAAATCAAACATTCATGCAAGTGGCAAAAAAAAAAAGACGTAGACACACCATCATCGACCAATAATATTAAAGCAAACTCGCGCCATATTTTCTAAATATTTCATATTACAACGACAACAAATTCATGCATAAGGAACGTGCGTCTGCTACAAAGCAAAGTGCGTTCGTTCATAACTCTGCGCCGCGCTATTTTTTCTGTGCGCCTGGTCAACCACGTTTTGGATTCATATGGAATTCAAATGCATAAAAAGAAGTTTAAATATAATGAATGCAATGGAATTGCAATAGATGGTTTCAGTGAAAATGAACAAACCAGCCAAAATTTCAATTTTACAATTTGTATCATCCATTCCCTCGCATTTGGATGTTGCTTCCTCACGACGCTGCTCAAAATCAGAAATAAAAGAAATTGTCGGATGTTCTCTTCAGAAAGGAGAATTGACAACATGGCCTATTAGCAACTTGAAATATTATTTTCATTTACTTTATATTATAAAATTTATATAAAATTGCCATTTATACGAAATCCCTCATTACTTCTACTAGTTCTAAGCACATTCCATATGGTGCTTATGCTCGTTTATTTTATATCATAATTTCATTGATTTTCGATTTAGCCGATTTTATCTAAATTCAATGGCATGAAAATGCAGTAAAATCGAATATCGAAAATCGCCGTACTTCAAAAGAGCATAAGTCAATTTTCAATGGAAAAGCACTACAGGAAGGCAAAAGTGACAACATTGTCGCAATATTGGCAATTGAAACAAATTTTGTCAACTCCGCGACTATTCCCACAATTCGATGTCAATATGTATGCGAGCTCATATATGTTTGTCGACAAAGTTGACATTTCTTTTTTTTTTAAGAACACAATGTCCGCGCGAACTCGCCGTTATTTCGTTAGCTTGCCACCATACACAGAGGCGTTTCAACTGAGGACTGATGCATTAATGTTTTTAATTTCGTGATATAATAATATTTATGTAAAAATATAAATACCCATGAATTCATAATAATTTAAATGTTTTTCAAATAAATTCGATTAATAAAAAAATATCTGAAATAATAATGTGGCAGTGCACCTCCTTGCTTGCGTTCGTTCAACTTGCTTCGTTCTAGCTGTTCTCGCAAAACACAAAAAGTTCTGCGGGGCAAGGAGAAGCAAACGTCAGCGTACGTGTACTTATGAATGTATGTGTGATTTTCATATTTGTATAAATACGCATCAATAAAGGAATATTCAATAAACCTAAACATATATTGAACACATTTTCCTGGAATATTCGATTCATTTCAGTGAGTAAAATATGCTATTGAAGTAACTGAATTGAGATATGCTAAGATTATAATTTAAAAAAAAAAAAAAAAATTAAATAAAATTTAAGTTTTATGAATTTTAGGATTCGAACGTAAATGCTCGTATTCGGATTGACCTTAACTCCTTTACGCTTACGACCTGAGCCACCGCAAAAGTGAGAACGCGGCCGCTTAGCCATTGTTTTATTGTTATCCTTTGACTATTACATATTGTTCATGCAACGAACAAAAATGTGTTGAAGAATTTATCTATTAATTACTTATTTTATTTTAAATTCTGAGGCTTTAACCAATAATCCTCTTATATAATTCGAAGGATTACTTTAAATTACAAAAATTATGCTTTTTTTGTAATATGCAAATGTAAAACAGCATGCACATAATTCATGTAAGAACATTCTTTGTGTCTATTTACAAGTATAGCCTTTTCCCCGTTTCGATCATTGCGTGGTTTATTTCTAAAGGTAATTGTAAGTTATGGTCGAGATAGTCGAAAATTATAAGGGCGTTAACTATTAGGCTCAAACTTAAAGCTTAGTTTAAATCTCTGAGATCGAAATATATCTCATATTCTATTTATGGTTCGAACAAGCCATTAGCTTCGCAAGATATGAGCTGTAGCAACCTCTCTTGAAAAGAAATTTATCTTGCCGAATACCCCAGGTTACAAATGTATAGGATTAGAGCCTAGTTTTAAAAATATATACATCAATTTCAGAAATATTTCGGAAATACCTTCTGAATTATCCTCGTTAGATAGAGCAGTAAAAAAATTAATTGTACATTTTAAAAAAACTCAGCTGAAAACTTTTCTATGAGAGACCACCAACCCATGACAATTCACACATAAATCGAATAAAATAGGAATGAAATATGAAGGGTGGATACTCCAACGAACACTTTTCGAAACGGGTTTTTTAATTTACAACTTATTTGTTTACAGGGCACTGATATGATAAATAGATAGATAGAGTAGGAGACGGATATTCTCAGAGATATTCTATAAAATCATCTTTAAATTAAATATTCAATGCAAATTGTCATAACATCTTAATTATATGAGCGAAGTATTTCTTCCTAAATTTGACCGGTAGAGATCAATATTAATTATTAATAATTATATGAGGACTTTACGGCTTAATTTGTTACTAAACAAACACAAGACAAACTCATGTATATACATATTTAGTTATGTACAATATATACACACCTACTCAAAATAATAGTTACACTATCAAACTTTTTGTGTGCTGTATGAAATAAGTTATGGTGGTAGTTTAATTAATAGATTATGGTACCGCCCTTTCTTACACAATGAAGATTGTGAATCTCCGAGTTAATTCCGAGTTCATATGTCAGTTTTGTATGAATACTCACAAAAAAAGTTTGCTTAATACATATAATAGTTACACATAAGTGAATTTAGTTGTTCGTGAAAACAAAGTTAATTTTATTCAACTTTTCAAGTTTATATTTCTGAAACCATCTTGAAAACCTTACCAAATTTTTTCTTCATTAAACCTTAAAATGCTGCAGATAATTGAAGGGATTTTTTTATAAAACTAACTGTGAAGCATGGAGGTGGAAGCGTCATGGTTTGTATATGTTTTTTTTTTTGGCATGGGACCGGATAGCTAACAAAATGACAGCGGCGGAGTACAAGGGTGTACTTGAAAATGTCAGGCTACCCTATGCTGAAGAAAACTTACCATTGGGTTGAATACGCCAGCAAGTTAACGACTCCAAACTGGTAAGAAATATTTTCAAGATAATAATGTTAACGTGTTGAAGTTGGAAAACCAATCGCCGGATTTAAATCCAATAAAAAACCTATGGGGAGAACTAAAAAATAAAATTGG